GCGATGAAAGTAGGAAGGCGGCTTATCCGCAATTTTTTGGCGGTCACTGTATATATATATGTCACGAAAGATCAAATCTTTGCAAAAAATCTAAATGCGGAGCTAGTCATGCAAGCTTAAAGCGGTGCGGATCCGTTTGAAGCACAATTTCTGTGGGATTCACGCAACGGAGCCGCTCGCCCTTTCACATGGTGAGCTTATATGCTGCGAGCATGCGCAAAAAATCGGCTTAAAGTCTCGGCTCTAGCTCGCTCTATGAATTTCGTGCCAGAAAGAAATTCACACACACAGACACCCAAATTGCTAAAAAAATACATGTCGCACGCATTAGCTTTGCGTAGGTGTTACACACTGCTGTATTTTTTCCAAAGCTAGTAGTAGAGGAAATGAGTTTTGGCATTTAATATAATCAATGCTGGGTTGTCTCGACGTAGATAATTCCATACTACAAGCCTTTGGAAATAACAGTGAATTTTGGGCCTTCTTTGAGAGCTGGTCGTCAGGGATATACGAGTTTGACATTGAAACCCCAAAACGACATTTTCGATTTTTTGACCTTCTTTAAATTTTCAGTTTCCATTTACAAATGCGTTGAGTGGACATATGATTATCTTATGTGTATAGTACGTGCTTGATCAAGTTTGAAGTTAGCAGCATCTTTGACGAAATCTGATTTTTGGGTATACAAATTTTTTTAAACAATTTTTTTGCAAGTTTACGAAGATTGAAGATTTTGAGAATGCGCAAATACTCCCCTATGGAATGATATATTTTGGACATTGTTATAGCTTTTCTGGCACTTTAAAATAAGGAACAGGCATTAGTTTTGCATCATCCTACTAATCTGTGCTATCAGTACTTGAATGATTTGCTAGTCTCTCAGGTCACGATGTACGTTATAGCGATATTTTCGAGGATTTCACTACATCTCCAGTAGGACTGCTCGAGCAGTAGTGGATGTAATCGGTATCCGGCAGCACTCCAAATGTCTTATTTCAGTAATTGTGTATTCAACGGATCGGTGCAAAAGCACGGTGATTTTAATGTTTTTTTTTATGTTGATGACAGCATGCAAAGAGATCTGATCAAAGCGCCTGATATCCGCCTAATTTGACAAGACGGTATATAATGTTGCATTCTCGTTTCCTGAAGAACATCAGGTGAGAGAAACTTCAGATGCAGCACACATAAAGGTCTTTCAATGTACGGACTAACTATTAGATTGTCTCATAGGTTTTTTTTTCATCTGATGATGATGTCCTGTAGACTCAAATTTTTGATTGGAAGCCAAACTACAACTATTATATTTGATAGATTGATGGACTTTACAAGTTATCCTGCGATCACTTGCAGAAAGTTTGACTTACGGAAGTATGAAGCCAAAATGTAAGTTCTAAATATGTTCCAATGCGGAGTACCACCAGGGATGTAACCTTGAATTTATCGCTTCAACAGACTTGTGACTTGGGATACTAGCATGCTTTTGAGTATTGTCAGGCCACTAATTCCTCTCTCCATCCTCCAACAACGCTCAAGGCAGCTCTATCCTCGTCTTCCTCTCCACCCCCCCCCATTACTCTTCCAATTAATCTGCTGCGAAAATTCAGGTAGTGGTTTATTTGAGTTACAAGACTATGCAAAAACTTGTTTTTTGTAAATATTAGGCTGTCCCAAAAGTACTTGCTCCAAATTTCCAAAAAATCCTGTAAAGAGCTCGATTCGTGCTTTCATATGGGATTTTCTTTGAAGGAATCCATTGAGATACGAAGAAGTTATGTTTTTTTGAAAATTTTGCGCAAGAACTTTTGGGAAATCCTAGTATTTGATTTTGTGAAACCAGAAGATAACACGCGTATGATGTCTCCTTTCCCTCCCCTTAAATTTCTCCAGCCCCTTCCCCCCATCCCTTGCTTTCAAGTTTTGACGCGATCAAGCTCGTTCTTACTTTGTAAACTTTGAGTATGAGGGGCCTTGGGAAAGGCTGGTTCACGCCATTTCCGTATTATGTAAGTTCAATTTTCGGGATTAGCGTCGATTTGCCCAGAGGAAGCAAAAAATTTCGTGGGAGATTGTCAAGCCACTGCTTCAAACTAAACACTTTTATAGATCCATTTGCTTGATTCAACCATCATTGCTTCTTTGACTCTCAAGTTTTTTGTACAGCTACATTTCGAAGTGTGAGACATTTGCAGCACCTCTGACCTCTCGTCGTAATCTAAGATGAACAATCACGTTTTTCACATGCCACGCAAAAGTCATGGAATCTCGTGAGCTTTCTTATGAGGTGATGAACGCTCTTAGAAACTTCGCATTATCGCTGATTTTGAAAGACAGCTGCAAAATCACCATAAAGTAGACACTTTTTTACAAAACTCGATGTTTAATATTCAGGAAGTGCTGGGCTTGATTTATTACCTTGCCTATATGATGATGCGGTTTTGCGAAAACTCTCAGATTGTTGTGATGCAATCGTGCCTTCAAATTTCAAGTACTTTCCATGAAAATTCCCCTGAGCAGTAGATTAGGCATAAGCCTAAATCTCACTATTTCTTCATCTTGTTTCTTGATAATTAAGGTGAAGAACGCACTTATAGACTTAGCGTAATCGTTGATGTTGAGTGACAAGCTCTGAGATCACCGGGGACTGTCGCGCATTTACATTCCAAGGCTTGGTTTTTAAAACTTGTACAAAAATGAAGTCGTGTGCATAGTTAGAAAAAAATAGATGCACTGGGCATTTTGGATCCACAAGTGTCATACTTCGAAAAGTGATTGGAGCACCCTGCCCATTTAGAACTTCCAGGTCAAATTGGACAACCCTCAGAGCTTCAAAATCTTAGTTACTCTTAACTAACTCGCAAAACCTGATTCAAATCAATGAGGAGATTGAGAGTTATGTCCAATTTCTGCTCACAGCGAATTTTCACGAAAAGTAATTCAAATCTGAGGGCGATTGCATCACAACATTCTGAGAGTTTTAGAACCGCGTCATCAATTAGGCAATATAATAAGTCAACCTCTGCACTTCTTAAACATCGAACACCGAGTTTTGATGAAAATGTGGTTACCCTTTGGTGTGGGGTATGTCCGTCAATGTCTGCGATTACGCAAGGTTTATAAAAGCGTCCTTTACCTCTTTTATCAAGAAAGCTCAGAAGCTTTCAAGACTTTTGCGTGGCATGTATGTAAGCTCGTAAACTCAAACCAGCTGTTTATTGTTGCAGATTGACTTTAAGAGCTTTTGAGCAAGAAATGCAATGGTGGCTGAAAAAAGCAAGTGTATCTATAGTAGTGTCCAGCCTGATCAGGGCTTTTTGAAAATTGCTCTTTTTCACCGTTTCAAATTAACGAGATTGAGAGCCGTTTTGGTGAATGATGGTAGGCTTGCATGTATACAACGCAACAAAACTTTAAACAGATCCACTAACAAGAAGGCAAATCATGGCGATATCGAGAGTGGATAATAATTGTGTTTAGCACTGTATTGCTCCTCGAAGCTTACACCCTCTGGAATGTAAATGTGAAGTAAACGATGGTTCAGTAGTCGTTTCATCAAAACCCCTATTCTGCAGTTCTCAATGGCCCTACCTGGATCCCTACACGACACTGATGCTATCTAAAGTTTGGTCTATTTTGCGCCATACTGTGACCAAGCAGGTCATAGTGTCTTTGATAAGTGCTGGAGAATAAGTTTTTTGTAATCTTAGTGAAGATACTAGATTTGACGCCACGTTGATTTCAAAATTTTCAAATCGGCCGAAAAAAGTGCCATAATACGACATCGTGACAGCGGTTCTCCAGCGTACTCAAACGGTCAAAAAAGTGTGAATCTTTTAAGGATAAGTGCCATGACAAATACAATCGATCATCCACCAGTATAAAACCCCCTCAAATCAGGACTCTAGCATTATTATCAAATGTTTTCGTCTGTGCACGTTGTTCCCCTTATGGCTATTATTGCCCGCACCCAAGCGCTCAAATGTTACTCAGATTTGTTAGTTGTATCAAATCGTAAGCCCACTCGAACAAACATCCTTGCAGGCCGTGTCTTTGAGTTTAAGGACTTTTGCGAATTCAAAAATATCAACCTATATAACCATTTTTTGGTACAAGCTGACATCAAACTTAAAGACAGTGCCTCAGCAAATTGTACTTCCAAATTTCTGCATATTTCAGGGCTTTTCGACACGCAAAATTCGAATTTGAGCTCTGAAGATGGAAATACTGTTTTTGGAGCGTTTAGACACTTTCCAAAACGCAGGTCACACGAGAGTTTCTATGAAAAGTTGGGAAACTCTGGCACGAAGACCCTGTCGCCTTAGTTTTTGCTTTGAATGGCATGCACAGTGCGGGAGCTGTCATGGGGTCCCGCGCCCAGCAGGTGCGAAGCCGTTCGAGCATGCGCAGACTGCGGTTGCGCGCGTCGGTTCCAGGGCTATTTTCTCGGCGCAGGCGTGAACATCAATAATCGGACTGAGCCTAGAAATAAGTGGCATGACCAGGAACCCCACTACAACTATATCCTCCACAAAGCAATTCTGCCAGGACACTGCCTTTAAGACTGTGTTTTGAACCCTCAGCAAGGAGGCGTTCGTCTGAAAAGACGTATCAAAACTTGAAAATTGAAATTCCAAGCCTGAACACCCTTAAACCTTATAGGTAAGGACAGGTAGTGACCTGGTAGATAGGTAGTGACCTTATACACCTACTATAATTAGCAGCAATCTAGCCAACGTTCCAAAAATTCGGGAAAAATAAATAGTAAATACGTAACTCATACAAAAAAACCTTCACACATTCTGTATATTCAGTATACTATTTTAAGACTTCTGAGTCTATTGTATACGTCTGAGTCTTTCAAAGATTTTCTCCAGATCTCAGGCTATATCTTTTGCTTCTCTCAGATATCCAATTTATTCTTAGTAGCTCAAACACTTGCATGAAGCTTTCGTTTGCTTGGCATCGTAAATCAGAGCTGTAGAACATCTGATCTCACTTCAGAAAAGATCATGCTTCCGCTAGTGAAATTGCTGATGCTGATGCTCCTATCGCAAGTTATGGTGGAGGCGAAAAAAATCGAAGATAGTACAGTGTGCTATGTGATGCTTAAAAAAACACATCCTTCAATCATGGAGTATATCTGCAATGCACATTGCAGAGATAGATATGTAAGTTTTGGTCTTGTATTTTATCGCAATAGATCGGTTTGCTTCAGGAGTGCGAGGGAGGCTACTGCAACAAAAAGTGGCTTTGTGTATGTAAGGACTGTCCTGAAACAGCCGAACCCCGTTGAAATCGTCTGCATAAAGACTTCAGCGTTTACACACGAGTTTACTGAAAAACATCTGTAATTCATTTTGAAAGACGGTTTTGCCTTACTAGAGGCTTTGTAAGAATCTTGTCGATGGACTATGTACCCTTCAACATTAAGGGTCAAGAGTTTACTTCTTAGATTTTGAGTATAAGATCTTAAGTGGAAACCATTAAAAGCTCTGGTTGAGACTTAGCCGCGACTCAAGTGTCCTACATGAGGGCTGGTTATGTATTCTGGTTTAGAGGAGGGAGCGGAAGTTTCTCACCCAAGCCATATCCTCGCACCTAAATGATGTGCCTGCCAGGCACACCCTGGCTCGCAGGAGCTCCTCAGGTGACCAAGACATCGCAAGCCCCGCCCTCTTATCCAGTGTCGCTCCAGATGCTGAAACCAGCGTTGATTATCAGAGCACTTCCTTTAAAGAATTCTTCTTTTCAAAACACTCACATCAAACACCGCTCTATTTGTGCGCTGAAGAGACCGTAACATTCATTTTTATCTACCTTATGCGTTCATTTCTCGTATAATACTCGTAACTTGGAAACAAAGGAGCTTGGAGGATAGCAAAAACAGATTTGGAATCATCGTATGATTCCAAATCGTATTGGTAAGGGCCACTTTGACTAATCAGTATTCCCTTGTGAGAGACGTCGATGAGAAACGCATCTTTTTCCATCGCGGCGTTAGTGAGAGTCAGTAGAGTCATGTTAGCCGCACAGAAGAAACGGACTACTAGACTGAGCCTTACGGATAAAACACTGCAACCTACTTTAGTCTCCGACGATGACGATTGTTCAACTGACAGAAATGCCAGTTCGTTGAAAGAAATGGTCATAAAACGTACACCCACCCATAAAGTGAGTGTTTTGAGAATAGGCCGCGGATGTGAACATACCGATGGGCAGAGCTATTCACCTCGTCAACACGCCTTGAACGTGAAGTCGTTCGAGAACCTCTGAATTTTCAAAAATCAAAACAAAAAATGAAACAGTAGTCAATTGTCGTCACAGTAGATCAGTAAAAAGTGATTGAAACTTACCGGAAATTAATTTGGAAACAGTCATCAGACATTGGATTAGATGACAAATGGTGACCAATGGCTGCTTTATCTGCACATAGCTGTAGAAGGATTGTTTTGACACATCATGCAAAATTTGCTGTAAGGCAGTTTGCAGGAAAATCTGGCACATACATAGTATTGCGTCAATTGTGAGAGCCCAATCAAGACGCTGTTTAATCTGCAGCCAAAGATTTACTCATGGCAGAAAAATCCATCTTGAAAACGGTTACAAGTATAGTATTTAACCAATTGCATCATTCGCATGCTTTCCACAATGATCCAGCTCTGCTGAAAGGTTTCTGTACGAAATCTGGAGAAGTGTTTTGTTGGTTTAAACCTTTCAATATTTTTGTCGTAAGTTTTCCTCTCAAAGGTTGCATTAATGAGCATGAGTATTGGACACGTGAGCATGAGTATTAGATACCCTTGACCAAATTATTAGAACGTTGACATTCAATATGACATGCTTGGCGAAGTGAAATTGATGTATACCGGAACGATCGCAAACAGAAAAAAACAGCTTTTGTTTATTTTTGAGATTACCTTAGGGCAACCAATGAGCCGGAATGATCATACATTTCACATCATTTCAAGCGCGTCAGTTACAAACATCTAATATCATTTGGTATTACAGGGTGCGCCAGAATTATTTGCGCGCGTATTTGCAACGCAAAACCCGTGCAAGACGAGATCAGCGATAGGCAAAAAGCTATTTTGTTTCAGTAACGTTTTATCATCAAGAGGCTATAGCATGAATAGGAATTTCTAAGTGTAAGTTTCTAAGTTTATCTAGAAGCTTTGTGAAAGCACTGTAGCATTGAATCCGGTGACAGGCACGTTTCTGCAGCTTACAAATGTGATTTGAAAACAAAACGGCCACTGACACGTGGGTGGCATTTGCGTACTTTTTGTTGCCATTTTTGGAAGAACAATTGTTGGCGAACGCAAGTACGATAGCGCAAAGCCTCCTCTACACTGTGGACATAGAATGCCTTGAAAATGTCTTATTCCAGTTACGGGATGATTAATAACTATCGAAAAATTAGGTTTTTGCGCCTTCCAAAAGTATTAGTACGACAATTTTATTATTTGCACAAAGGTATGGCAATCATCTTGGGCTCATAAAAAACTATTTTGTAGAGCAAATTCGGTTCTTTAGTTGTACCGTTTCGTTCCTACCCTTAGACGGTTTGGCTAAATAGGTCCTAGGCTTTCTCGGAACTTATCAGTATGGAAGGATAGCTCAGCTGGATCTATTCAGTTTTTTGTTTGTCCCACCCACCTTCCCTGACCGCCGCTGGCCACCATTTTTCTGGGTTTTCGTTTTGTTATCTTTTTTGGATTTTATCTTTTTTTATTTTTTTTGCATTTTGAGATAGGATGGCATGCAACAAATAAATACTGTACTATACTACTGCATGCAATTATGTTAGCGCCCTGGAATACACTACGTTAGCTGTGCTCCCTTCGGGCGCATATATGTACAGATTTGCCGGACCCCCGACCCTCGGACACGCCACGTAGCTGACCATGCGAAAAACAGGGAGTTTCCAGGTCTACCCTACTGTTCGCAGAGACTGTCCTTGCGCTTTGTTGATCGTCATAGCGAGTGCAGGCCTGACCGGAAACTGCACTCGCCTGAAGTCAAAAGGCATATCGGAGGGGACCAAAGGGACTCGTGGAATATAAACGACTTCACCTTTGAACTTCCCCAACAATATGGTCGCTACTATGACGTTTGGCATGAGACTTCTGATGCAAAGCCTTGTACCATTGCACATCTTCGGTGGGTTGATGTTACGAAGGAGCATGATTGGTAAATCAACCTTCAGATCAAGTCTGTGAGTCTCTCTGTGTTCGAGTGAATTCAAGAACTCAGTGGGGAAGTGAACAGCCTGTTCACTCTGGACCATCGTATAAAAAGATTTGTACGTTGTTACTGGTCTAGGTAGGCTGTTTAGAATCTGAGCATTGATAGAATTCACTTGCTCATTTTTGGGCGCCAGAATCGCTCGCTCGCAAATCCACTCCCCATTGCTGAAGTTGGTGGCAAGGTTTGGAAAGACCTTTTCGATCAGTTCTCCCACCGATTGAACCATATTGCAGAAGTCTGGAGGAAAGGCAATCCAACCAGAAGTTGGTTCAACCGGAATTCTGCCCTCGCCAAGAAGCAACAGTTGTTGCGCAAAGCTTCTGGTAGTCTCATCGCCAAGGAGGTGGACTCGCATGTTCGTCGTGAGATTCAGCGATCGGACATGTCTCCAGAGAGGAGAAGCTTTGAGGCAAGCGTCCAGCTCATCTGCTGGAACCGATCGCGGAATCACTGGCAGAGCTTGACGAAAGTCACCTGCCAGTAGCACGACGGCCCCACCCATCACCCTGTCGCTTCCTCGTAGGTCCCGTAGTGTGTTGTCAAGGGCTTCTAGGCACTTCTTATGCGCCATGGTGCATTCGTCCCAAACTATGAGTTTGGTTTCTTGTAACAACTTGGCTTTCCCTGTGCCTTTGCTTATCCCACACACTGGGTGCTCTACATGAGCAATATCCAGAGGAAGCTTGAAGCTGAATGAGCAGTTTGGCCTCCTTCTAGCAGTGTTGAGGCAATCCCCGAGGATGCCACTGCTAGTGCGATTTCTCCTTGTCTGCGATCTTGGCAAGTAGGAGATTGATGAGAAACGTTTGCCTTGTTCCACCCGGAGCGTCGAAAAAGAGTAGCCCACCCTTGCCACTGAAAATCGCGTCCACAACAGCACGGTAAACCAACTCTTGGTCCTCCGTAAAAAGAGGTCTGTTAGACTCTACAAATGTGGTCAGCTGTTCGGCATCATAGAACCTCTCTTGGAGAACATGCTCTCAAGTGCTTGGTCATCTCCGCGTATTGATGACGGCAGACCGAGGTCCCTGAGGGTTTGACCGGTCATCGACACGCACGTATCCTCAAGCAGTATCAACGCTCGGTTGAATATCTGGGAAGAGTAACGATGTTTGCAGAGAGTGCAACTCTGCGACATTCTCTGAGTACATACGTCTCCACTCAGAGCCTCTTTGTACTTCTCTTCTACTTCTTTGTACTTCTTTGTACCATGCACTTTAAAAAATTGGATTTTTCAAAATTTGAGGGCCCACAACGAGTAACTTTCAAAAATTTCGCGTCCTTTTGTACCTTTCGCTCTGATAGTTTCAAAACATTGGCGAGGTGATTGCAAATATCATTGAGTCAACTTAAGCATTGCACACCATGATGTTACTTGACCGTTCGTAATATATGAAACGTGCTCATTTCCAGCGATTTCTCCTTATTTCTTGTCTCTTTTCCTTTTACTGGATTATGATTTAGTAGTACACATTTCTACAGTTCGTTACCTGTAAAAGGTTTTAGCGAGGAATTAGTGGTAGTGTCGTCGTCGTTTGCCGCACATAGTGTGCAAACTCACATTTCAACTCAACGATGACGCCTATTTTTTTAGTGGCGGCGCTGTGAGACGACGCGATATTGCGGATTTTTTGTCGTTTATTTCTTAACTAGCTGGCTTACCCGGCTCCGCCCGGCATCACATACACTTTGATTAAAAAAAGCCGAAGTTGTATTCCTCAAAAAAAAAGAATACAACTTCGGCTCTTTAGTTGTACCGTTTCGACACTTAGACGGTTTGGCTAAACAGGCCCTAGGCTTTCCCCGGAACTCATCAGCAAGGAAAGAAGCTCAACTGGATTTGTTCAGCTTTTTGTTTATCCCACCCACCTGCACTGACCGCCGCTGGCCGCCAATTTTTGGGTTTTCGTTTTGCCATTTTTTGGATTTTGTATTTTCCAATTTTTTGAGATTTTCCAATAGAATGGAATGCAACAAATAGATACTGTACTATACTACAGCATGCAATTATATTAGCGCCCTGGGATACACTACCGTTGCTGTGCTTTCTTCGGGCGCATATATGTCCCGACCCTCGAACACGCCACGTACAGCAGACCATGGGAAAAACAGAGAGTTTCCAAATCTACTCCTACTGTTCGCAGAGACTGTCCTTGCGCT